GGGCTGGTGCTGCTCCTCTCGGGGCTGCTGAGCCTCATACCTGCCTCCTGGTACACCCAGGAGCTGTGGGCACTGCCCGCACCCGTCGGCAGCACGCTGGGTGCGGGCTACAGCTTGGTGCTGAGCTACTTGGGAAGCTGCCTGGAGATCCTGGGCGGGCTGGCCCTCGCCCTCAGTTTCCACCACTGCTGCAAGGAGCGCAGGGCCCCCAAACTGCCCCCCAGCCCTGTGCATGGGGCTGGGCCGCGCTCCACCGCTGGAGCCTACCACAATCCCTGGGATGTGATGGAGGACGAGCGAGACGGACAGCACGGGAGGAGCACCCTGCCTTGTGACTCTGACTTGTAGCCCCAGTGAAGGGACAGCAGCAGGCACCAGCTGGCCTAGCGCGGAGACCAGTGCTGGCTCCTGCCCCACCCGGCTCTTGGGGCACCTCGGAACAGGCTGGAAACAAGACCAAGGACCTGGCTTTAATCTCTGCAGCCTCCTCAGAAGCCTGCCAAGCTCCAGATCCCACAGCTGTGCCGGGTAGAGGACCAGCCCTGGCTCCTCCACACAGCTTTTACCTCATCCCCCTGCACAGTTGCAGCACCTCCAAGCAAAGGCAGCTGTACTGTTCCCAATGAGCAGGATATAGCTCAGCACTGCATAGTGTTCAGGGCTGGGAACAGGGGAGGGGAGCACCTCCCACACGTCTCTGCTTAACTCAGGGCTGTAAAAACAGCAAAATAAATGAAGAGGAACAGGTCTGTGCCATGGGATGGTTATGGGCTTTCTGCCAGGCAGGCTGGGCTGAGAGCCAGCGGGCACGACTAACCCAGCTCCCCTGTGCCTGGAGCAGGGAGGAAAGGTCTGTAAAAACGGGACAGGTGGCTTTTATAGCACCTTCCTCAAAGACGTTTCTGCTCTGGTCAAAATCAGCTCTAGAAGAGGTTTCTCCTTCCTAGAACACAGCCACTTTGGGGGAAGGGGGGGGAAAGATCATTGATAAAAAAATAGGGTATATTTCCCCTTTCATCATTAGCTTGGTGTGAGGCAGTAAAACTGGTCTTACTGGTTTGTAAGGGACACTCAGGAGGTCAGAACTGCCCTATAAAATCCTGATCAGCACGCTGCATAACAGGGCAAGAGCAGAGCCAGCTTCACTGCAGAGCTGTCGAGCCAGATTTGCACCCCAGACGTGCACAGCACACCCTGCTCAGCATGCAGAGGTGATGCACCTTGCTGCCCAAGGAGGGTGGGTTGAGATGCCCAAAGTGTGGTTAAGGGATGGTACAGGATGCACCCTGAAGCCAGGGATCAGATTCAGGTGGCTCAGAGAGCATGTGGGGGCTGGAGGCTTCCCAAAAAATTCCCAAAGCTTTTTGCTCTGGACTAAGTTCCCTGGGGCTTAGAGATCTGGAAAGAGCAAACCAACCTCCCCTGCCCAGCCCACACACAAACCACAATGGCACCAGAGATGCTGCACAACGTCCCTTTATGAAAATAGTGTGTCGGGGTGAGATGGTCCCTTCCTCAGTGGCGCTGGCAGCTCCTGCAGAGATCACAGACGGGTGCATCAGGGAAGAGTCTGACCAGCCTCCGTGGGCCTACCCCACACCTTGGCATGGGGGCTCCAGCCACAGAGGGAGTGTGACAGCCCCTGTCCCAGCCAGACTTCAGGTACCCACATGTCTTGACCCTCTCCCCCAGCAGGAGGGCAGAGCTTGCCCTGAGAATGCTGGGCCTGGAGAGGGATCTGCATACGGGAGGGAAGACTTAGGGCACCCCAGGGTAGCAGAGGGGTCCCTACCAGGGCCTACTCACCTCTTTCCCATCATAAGCTTCATTTACAAAGGTGTCACTCTTAGGGGGCAGCTCTTCCTCCTCCTCCTCATCTTCTTCCTCAGGGTCACTTTCACGGTGGTACAAGGTCAGCACCCGGGTGGAGGCAGTGCTTGAGGTCCTGCTTGAGGAAAAATGTACACTGAGGATGGCATGGCCATCTCCTAGAGATGGGGCAGATCCCAAAGGTCCTGCCACAACTCCTGGTAATAGCCTACTGGGGTAGGCTTTCCACAGAGTCCAGGAGTGCCCCAAGACACCATGCTGTTCCTGGGCAGGGAATTCCTGTCCCTTTCCATCCGCAGGTGTACCTGGCCTAGCCGAGCCCCAGAGCTCACCTCCTCCGCCTGTCCCGTCTCCGCATGTAGGCAAGGGCTCCCACAGCTGCGGCAGCAAGCAGCAGGAGCACTGCTACCCCCAGGGCAATAGGTCCCGCAACGGGCTGCACCTCTGCCTCTTCGCAGTAGTCACCCCGATAGCCCAGGGCGCAGTGGCATGTCACCTGCCCAGCCTCAATGACGCAGTCCCCACGCAGGTTACATGTCTCGCTGCTGCATGGCACGGCCCCCAGCACCTCCTCAGTGCTGGGGGATACCAGGAAGGGCTCTCCATGATCCTGGGGGACAGAGGCTGTGGACAGGCTGGGGCTGGGCTGCTGAGGCTTGGGTGCAGCTGCGGGCAAGGCTGGTTTCTCTTCTTCCACACGGGACATCCCTGATGGTGCCACCACAGAGACCTGCGTCCCCACCTCCACAGAGGGGCCTGGAGGGATAGACATGGATCAGCAGCAATCCAGGTGTGACCCCCCTTTCCAAACCGGGAGAGACTGGGCAGGCCTCCCCTGTGCCCAGGCAGGACCCCTGCACACCCTGGCTCGGGGCAGGCACTTACAGTCAGACTCATCAGAGCCATCAGCGCAGTCAGGGTGCCCATTGCAGACCTGCTCTCTGGAGATGCAGGTCTGGAGGTCATGGCAGGCCTGGAGCGGGGCTGGGCAGGGCAGGGCCGGCGTGCAGGCCACCCCACGCACCAGGTGGTAGCCAGGGGAGCAGCGGCACAGCCGCCCTGTGGGATTGGGCAGGCAGAGCTGTGCACAGCCCCCATTGTTCTTTGTGCAGCCATTAGTGCCTGCCAAAACAGCACAGGTTAGCAAGGGCCACCACAGGGCATGGCTCAACCCCCCAGATGCCCCAGGCAGGGGCAGCCCCAGACCCACCTTCCTGTGAGAAATGGTTGTAAATCCTCATAGCTACCAACTCCTGCTCCATTGGGAACCACCAGCTCTCAGCCCACTCCAGCCGGCTGTGCCAGATCTTGCTGGAGCCTGCAGACAACATTGGGTCAGCACTGTCCCACCTCCTCCAGCAAAGATGCTCAGGATAGGATATTGGGTTCCCCCAGCGTGCACACCACAGGCACTGGTAGAGACCCCACAGGATGAGCTGGACAAAGCACAGCAAAGAGACTCACCATTGGTTGAGGTTGTGCTCCAGAGCAGAAAGCCTTCTCCCACGGTGAAGAGCGAGAGGCCATGCAGCCCTTCTCTCACCACCCGGAACTGGGATCCGTCCAGCTCGATGCTGCTGATGGTGCCTCTCTCTGCAGGGCAGAGATGCAGGGACATCAGATGTGGGGCATAGAGGGTTCTGGGCTGACCCTCGGGGCCGTGCTGGGCTGTACCCTATGGGTCGGGTGCCTGCACCACTGCTACTGCCCCTGCTCAGCCCACACTCACCACGGTCTGCCCAGTACAGCCGGGTGCCAGTACCCCCGAAAGTGAGGCCAGTGGGAGCCCGGGCTCTCCTCCAGACGGCTCTGCGGCTGGTGCCATCCATGGCCGCACACTCCACTGTGGCGCCGGGCCCATGTCTGCTAGTCACCGTCACAAAGCACATAGTGGAGGCACGAGGGCACAGTGCCAGCCAGGCAGCACCCTGCAGCCCCTCACTGAGCAGCACCAGGGCCCACCGCCCCCCAGGAGCTGCCACACGGATGCTGGGTGGCTGACCCCCAATCCAGTACAGGTTGCCACTCAGCCAGTCCAGGGCCAGCGACGTCACCGTGCCCTCCACGGCCACCGCCTGCTTCCAGGACAGCCGGCCCCAGTCCTTCAGGCGCAGCAGCCCAATGGAGTCGCCTCCCACCTCTGCAAAGTACAGGCTCTTGTCTTTCACTGCATAGTCAATGGCTGTCAGGTGGCCCACCTTGGCCAAGGGCAGGGCCCGGTGTGGGGGAAGGCCTTGGGATCCAGCCGTTGTGGGCAGGTCCTTCAGGTAGACCTGGAGGAAAGAGGCAGCAACTAGGACGGGGACCCTGGTCCTGACAGCGGCGATGACAGCAGCCCCCAGGGCTGGCTCCAGAGGAGGATACCTGCGCCACAGCTGCTGGTGACACGAGGAGGGCAAAGGCCGAATCGCGGAGGGGCAGGCAGGTGGTCTCATCATCAGACAGAGTCAGCCTGGCAGGACACCGGCACTGCCCAGTGTGTCTGGTGCTCAACAGGCAGAGGTGGGAGCAGCCACGCGCTGCGCATGGGTTTGGGGCCACGGGGCGCAGGGCTGGGTGCATCACCTGTGGGAAGGGCAGGCTCAGCCCCAACGTCCTGCCAGTGCCCAGCAGCAGAGCTGAGCATGACTAATGCCATGCTGTGTTCCTGGGGCTCCAATACGGCCCAGCTGAGGGCAGGACGGCGAGGCAGATACGCTCCAGGAGGACCAGAGACTCTTGAGCACAGGGACTGCTGCCCAAGGATGGGGGTACAGCTCCCAGGTCAGGGCCGTGCAGGGCGGGAGCCCCAGGAGAGTTGGCACAGCAGGGTTCAGGGGTGCCCCAGGTAGGTACCTGGAGGCCATGGGGCTGCCCGTGTCGCTTGAGCAGCATGGTCCTGTTCTTGCCGCTGGCCTTGTCCACCTGCTGCACGGACCATGCCTTCCTTTCTGACCAGTAGAGCTGCCCCTCGCACACAGCCGCCGCGAAGGGGCTCCGGACCCAGCCCAGCTGCAGGACCTGGCAGAGAGGCCATGAGCACCTACCCCGTTCCCGTCAGGGTTCTGTCACCAGAGACCCACCACACACCTTCACACTAGTGCCATCCAGACGTGCAGAACCGATACTGCCAAGCTTCTCATCCAACCAGAAGATCCTCCAGGTGGGGAGGTCGAGGGCCAGTGCTGTGGGCCAGCCCAGACCCTGGGACAGCAGCACGTGCCGCCGACTCCCATCCATGGTGGCCTCCATTAGCCGTGGCTGGCTCCCCACTTCTGACCAGTACAGCACCCTGCCAGAAACAGAGGTGCTGGCCCATGGACCTGCCACAGCATCGTCCCTGTACCAGGACAGCCCAGAGGAGCAGCAAGGAGCTTCCCATCCCATCCCAGATGCATTGAGAGCTCCACCCAGGGCAGGGGCAGGTGCTTGGGATCCTTCTTCCCCATTCACACAGCCCCGACCCAGGGGAGGGGAGTCCCAGCCTGTCACTTGCCTCCATGGAGGAAAATGGAGCAGGGCATGGATGGCAAGAGGTTCCCATGATCTCCTGTCCCAGCCTTACCCTGCCAGAGGCTGAAGCACCAGGGAGTGGGGCCGGTCCAGACCTCCATCCATGACCACAGTGTGCTCTGGTATCCCTCGCCAGGCAGCCCCCAGGCGAGTGGCCAGCACCTGCCCTGCTGCCCCATCTGTCCAGTACAGGTTCCTCGCGAGCCAGTCCACTGCTATGCAGTCTGATCTCACACCTGCAACGTGTCAGAGAGTCAGCATCCATGGGGTGACAGCTGCATGGCCCTCTGGCACGATGCTCCCAGAGCAGGTACCCTCCATCCCAAGAGCTCCTTGGCACCTCTCTGCAACCTGGAGATTGCACAGCCCCAGAGAGGTCAGCCCTGCTAACCCCACGCTGTCGCTGCCCACCTTTCACCAGTGTGCCTTTCTTGCCGGAGTCAAGGCCCTGCCAGCGGATGCTCTCTGTGGCCAGGTCCATCCAGAAGACTTTCCTCTCCACCAGATCATAGTCAAGTGAGAAGACGACGCGCTCCTTGTCAGTGGCCAGCAGCACCTCCTCACGCCCACTCCGCAGGCCATAGGACAACACCTCTGACTGCACGGCCACCAGCAACATGGGCTCTGGTCCTGGGGCAACACAGAACCGCCCAGCCCCTGCTCAGCACTGGTCGCCCTGCAGCCCCTGCACAAGCAGGCGGGGAGCACAGCACTCGCAGGCACTGGAGCCTGCTGGGACTCGGCCCTACTGCATAGTGTGTCCCTCAGCTAGTGCAGATGGATTTTCTGACTGGCCACGGGCTGGCAGCAGCAGATCAGGGCTGAGTGAGGCCACGTGGCAGGGGGGACAGGTAGCCACTGGCTCCTGATGTACCCTGGAGTGCCAGAGAGCATCACTGCTGCTTGGCTGTCCCAGGGCTTACCTGTGAGTTTGCAGACTCGGCTGTCAGGCTCCAGCAGGTAGCCAGGGAGACAGCCACAGCTGTAGGACCCCGGGGCATTGAGGCACGTCTGGCTGCAGGCTCCCTCACCCCACTCCATGCACTCGTCTATGTCCAAGCAAGAGAGACCATCCTCGGCCAGCCGATAGCCTGGCTCACACCAGCACCGCTGTGGGGAAAGGGGCCATCAGAGTCCCCTCTTGGGGGGACACACGAGGCTCCCTCCTGCAGCTGGACCAGGGTGGTATGGTGGGGTAAGTCCCCAGGCCAGGGGTCCCAGCACTCACAGGGCCCTGGGGTGAGGGGTAGCAGAGATGAGCACATGACTGCTGGCAGGGCACAGAGCAGTTCCCCCCCTCGTCTGAGCCGTCCACACAGTCCTGCTGGCCGTCGCACACGAGGGATGCATTCAGGCAGGCC